TCTAGCCATTCATTTGATGGACACTGTCTTAATTACGTTTACATCTCTGTGGTCAAATGCCTAAGAAATACCTAGCAACCTAAGGGAAGAGAGGTTCGTGTTGGGTCACAGCCCATAGAACGTGGTCCATCAGGACAAGGAAGGCAACTGGAGCAGCTCCAAGCAAAGATGCAGGAGTGTGAGTGGGTCAGGGAGCGTGGGATCTGGGCTGTGCCCAAGAGCAAAGACTTCGAGTATCACTGTCAAGGCCTGCCCTTGAGAGCCACTTCTGTTAGGCCACTGTACCCAAAGTGCCACAACTTTTACAGGTTGTGCCACCAAGCGGAGGCCAGTTGTTCAAAGAAATAAGCTTATGAGTGACATTTCCAATGCCAACTATAGAGAACACTTAGATTGCTTAACTTTGGGGCTACTTTAAAGCTGCTACGATGACGGTACACTTATTATCTTGTTTTTGTTTGTTTAGTTAGTTATGTTGAAGACAGGATTTCTTTGTGCCGCCCTCGCTGTCCTGGAACTCACTCTGTAGGGCAGGCTGGCCTCGAACTCAGAGACCCGCTTGTCTCTGCCTGCTGAGCGCTGCGATTAAAGGTGTGCTCTCCCTCACCTGGGCTCTTTTTATATATTAATTAATTATTTTTGACACAAGGTCTCACTGTGTAGCTTGGATGGCCTGAAATTTAATGTGTAGATCAGGGTGGCCTCAAACTCACAGAGATCCAACTGCCTCTGTGTCCCTAGGACGAGGTTTAAAGGCACAAGTCACCGTGCCCAAGTCTTACAGAATACAAACCCCATTGTCTATTCCAACAACATTCCTGTCACCTTTTTTTTTCTTTTTCACGTAATATTTTTATTGATAATTTAGGAATCCTGTCACCTTCTTACACCTCCAAGATCATCTACAGCTGCCACTTTTGGACCTCTAGATGAGGGAATTTCTTCCTTTACACTTTCGTATTTCTGCGGGGTGTTTTTTGTTTTTGTTTTTGTTTTAACGAGTCTTCTATCTGCATGTACACCTGCATGCCAGAAGAGGGCAGCAGATACCATGTAGTTTCTAGGAACTAAACTCAGGCCCTCTGGAAGAGCAGCCAGTGCTCTTAACCACTGAGCCATCTCTCCAGCCCTATCTTTGCAGTTCTTTAGCACAACCCCTTTCCCTGATTCCAAAGCTAGGGCCCTCCATGTTCAGATCACAAACTTGCTCCCAACCCTGCCATCTTAATTCCTGTCTGGGACAGTTGCCACCCAGTCTTCCCTGCTGAAGCCTTTACCACGTCAGCAAGAAACCTAAACAACTTTTGCTTTATTGTGTTTTGTTTGTTTGTTTTTGTTATCTAAGGTGGGGCTGAGAAAGCATCCCTAAAGTAGAACGAGAAGCTGTACTAACACTGCTGCCCCTAAAGAGGCAGCTGATACGGATGGGGCCACAGGACAAAAAGCATAGGGGATGGGGTTGGCAGAGCAGACTGGCTCTGCCACTTCTGCCATTGTAGCTGTTGGTTCTCATGGAGTATAGCAGAAATAGTCTGAGCTCTACAATCTGTACAAGTGCTTCATCGAGGAGATCTCTAATGGCATTGTCAACCTAGGTCTCTTGCCCTTCTGTACCCCAGAGGCCCAAAGGGGGAACAAATCTAGCTTTTCTACTATTTTCTCCTCATCAGCATTTCTGAGGTGCCCTCTGGATCTCCTGATCTATGGAATCTCTCTGCGCTATCAGCCTGTTCAGTAAAATTTCCACTCACTATAGACTGAGCTACAGTGTGGACTCCCTCTACTTGCCGGTGTGGGCTTTCCTTATCTCTATCAATCTAAAGCCCAGAGAGGGACATGTATCCTTCATCAACCTTACGAGCAGGAAGAGATTAATTTAATCCCAGCACTAGGAAGGCAGAGGTGGACAGAGCTCTATGAGTTCAAAAAGGACACCCTGATCTGCATATCAAGGTCTGAGTCAGCCTGGGCTACATAGTTACACTGTCTCAAAAGAAGAAGAAGAAGAAGAAGAAGAAGAAGAAGAAGAAGAAGAAGGGATCTACAATATATCTACTTAGTACAGATAAAGGTATTGGTGAACAATAAACACAAGACATACATAAACAACACAAAGATAGTTGTAAATCTTAATGGTTAAGTTAAATGTAAGTAGCATAAACTCTACAATTAAAAGGTAGGGCTTAGCAGAATGGCTTTTTAAAGGCATAATCTAATTACATGTTGCTCACAAGAGGTTCATTTTGAATATAAGTAAAAATAAAGAAATAAATGCATTTAAAAGATATGAGTGGGAAAGGATAGATCATGCAAATAGTAACCAAGAGAGTAGGATGGCTCAACAGTGTTGCATGCTTATATCCCAGCACTTGAGGGTCAGAGACAGGAAGATCCCTATAAATTTCAGGCCGACGGAGTTAAGTTCCAGGTTAGGCAGAGCTGCACAGCAAGACCGTGTCTCAAAACAAACAAAAGTAAAGAGGGATAGGAAGAGGATGGGGAAGAGGGAGCGTTGTATTACTATTGGGTGAAGCAGGTTCGAATCTTGCCTCCCCTTATATTCGTTGCGCAGACTGACAACCATTATCAGTCACCTCACTATTTGGCTAAATCAAATAAAATACTCCCATTTTGGAGACCCCATCCGCGTCTTGTAGAAACCGGCCCCAATCAGGTACTGCCGCGCTGAGGCGTGGTGTATCTAGGGACTTGTAGTCCATGCGGCGGAACTCGCAGTCCCGGCAGGCACCGCGGTGGCCTCCGATGGGCTACGTGGCTCGGCAGTCTGCGCCTGCGCAGGCAGGTGGGCCAAGATGGCTGTGGTGCGAGGCGTGCGAGTTGTCCGAAGCTCATCCGGACTCTTGCTGGGGCGAGGGATGCGGACCTTCCTGCTACTGCTGTGGCTTGCAGCCCGCGGAGACGCGCTCTACTTCCACATTGGAGAGACAGAGAAGAAGTGCTTCATCGAGGAGATTCCGGACGAGACCATGGTCATCGGTGCGGGGGCGAAGGGAAGCGTTTGGGACAAGTTAGTGGTACTGGGGCGGGGGGATGCGACTCATTCCGGGTAGCTAGCCTGGGACTGTTTCTTTGGCCGTGAATCCGGCACCGCTTCGAGCTCTTCTCATCTTCCCTTTTCCGCCTGTTTCCAGGAAATTACCGGACGCAGCTGTATGACAAACAGCGGGAGGAGTACCAGCCAGCCACCCCTGGGCTTGGCATGTTCGTGGAGGTAAAAGACCCCGAGGACAAGGTGAGCTGGCTCTTACCTGCTCCGGGCCCTGCGTCAAGCAAGCTCCCGTGCTTCTTTGTTAGTGTTCATATCTGTTCGATCGAGAAAGACAGTTGGTGTTGTGGGAAGATGCCGGATCTTCTCTACGAACTTGGGCCGCGGTTGCTGGACAAGTTCTGCTCTCAACTTCTCGATGATCGCTGAGTGACTCCCCAATTCAGTTACTGGCCTAGAACCGTTTACCTAGCCTGTGAAATGGAAGCTCACTTACTTTAGCGATAAGTGTATTAATTGCAGTGATGGGTATCAAAAAGTTGCTAATGCTAAAGTTATTTAGGCCTTAATTTCATAAAACAGCACTTTTCAAAAAGGAGGACCTTTCAGTTTTGACAAATAATGTTTTAAAGACAAAAGGGAAAATATTTTTGTTGTCACTAACCATCAAAATAGTTGTGGAAGTTACTTGCCGTCACCTTTCATCGAGGCATCTGGAGAGATGGTTGAGCATCAATTAAGAGCATTTGCAGCCAGGCAAATGCTCTTAAAGGTGGCCCCTGCCTTTAATCTCAGCACTCAGGAGACAGAGGCGGTCGGATCTCTGTGAGTTCTAGGCCAGCCTGGTCTACAGAGTGAGTTTCAGGACAGCCAATGCTACACAGAGAAACCCTTGTCTCGAAAAACAAAAACAAAAAACAAACAAGCAAGAAAAAGCATTTGTAGTTCTTGTTCAGAACCAGAGTTCAGGTCCCAGCACACACATAATGGCTCCCAACAGCTCACAGGCTGCTTGTGGAGCACATATAATATACAAGCAGGCAAAGCACTCATACTCATAAAGGAAAAAAATACTTTAAGAGATTAACAGGCATTTAAAAAAAAAAAACAGCAACAAGGTGATGATAATAGAAAGTGCTGTTAATCACAGCCCCTGGAAGGTAGGGCGGGCCAGCTCTGCCTTAGAGGAGCTGAAAGAGCTAACACCAGCCTGGGGTACTAACCCTCAGAGAGCTAACAGTGGATACGGAGCAGTCCTTCTGGGGAACAGTCTCATGCAGCCTGATATCAGACCGTTCAACCCTGCCCCAGATAGTTCTCGATCATTTCATAATTGCGGCTGAGTACCTGTGGGTCCTTTAGTGCTGTGAGCCCAAGGCTCTTCCTGCAGACTTTGTGGTACTTGGAACCTTGCTGACATTTTTTTCCAGCCTCCCAGCAAGCATCACTGACTGAAACCCCTCCCTGTTATCTGTAGGTCATCCTGGCCCGGCAGTATGGCTCTGAGGGCAGGTTCACATTCACCTCCCACACCCCTGGTGAGCACCAGATCTGTCTTCACTCGAATTCCACCAAGTTCTCCCTCTTTGCCGGAGGGATGCTGGTAAGTAGGTCCATGGACAACCAAAGGCTTTGAGGCAGTGTACCCTGCTTAGGACTGGGGAGTTGAACTGTGAGTGTGGCAGGTACTGGATTTTGTGCCTTTTAAAGCCATTGAATTTCCAGTGGACGTGCAGGGCACAGTGGCTGATGAGTTGTGTAGCCATTCCTTACGACCTCACTGGAGTGCTTTCATGCAGTGCCTCGGTAGCCTGCCGTACACATCATCATCTCTAGATTACTTACAACCCCGAATGCAACGTTAGTGATGTAGACGGCGTAGGAATTGATCTAGAGAACGACTAAAAAGTCTTCATACTCTGTACAGATGTGTATGTTTTTTGAATCTGTGTTTTTGCTTTTTGAAGTTTTGATCTTCGGAAGATCACCACCATGACAAAGAACAAAGTGTCTGAACATAGGTCAGAGCATGAGCCAAAGCTTATTACTTTTTTTGTTTGTATACCTGGAGCCCCATAGCATTGAGTGGGTCTCAGTGTGCGAGCTGAATTTTAAAAAAGAAAAAAAAAAAAAAAAAAGACAGGGAGCTGGTGAGATGGCTCAGTGCTTAAGAGCATTGATTGCTCTTCCGAAGGCCCTGAGTTCAAATCCCAGCAACCACATGGTGGCTCACAGCCATCTATAATGAGATCTGATGCCCTTTTATGGGGTGTCTGAAGACAGCTACAGTGTACTTACATATAATATAAATAAAAACTTTTTGGGCCAGAGCGAGCCAGGCCAGAGCAAGGGAAGGGGAGAAGAAAAAAAAATAAAAACAAAGTAAAGTAGCGAGACCAGCTGTCAGTTGGGTATTCAAAGGCAGTGAGCCTGCCTCACTTTCTTCTCTCACTGTTTTCTCCCCAGAGAGTTCACCTTGACATCCAAGTAGGTGAACATGCGAACGACTATGCAGAAATTGCTGCCAAAGACAAGCTGAGCGAGCTGCAGCTGAGAGTCCGGCAGCTAGTGGAGCAGGTGGAGCAGATCCAGAAGGAGCAGAACTACCAGCGGGTAGGTGCCCGGCCAGCGGGTGGGTGCCTGGCCAGCTAGTGGCAGGAAAGATTGGATATGGAAGCCCAGGGGATTTACCTAAGCCAGAGTGCAGATCGAAAAGGTGAATGTGTGTTACAGAGTCCATTTGTAAATGAGCCACAGCCTCGGAAGGGCCTGGCATCAGAGTAAGTCACAGTGACAAACCGGAGAGCAGCATGGTAATTAATACCAGCACCTCCTAGCCATTTTAAAGGTTCTGAGTGCCCCCAGAATCAGCCTCTCTTTTGTGACCAGGAACCAGACAGGTATAATGAATGAATTGTAGGGCAGTGACCCATCTAAACAGGAAAGATTGTACAGTGCCTGCTAGGGCCTCCTTGCAGTCCTGAGATTTTAGCTCCTACCCCCTTACTCCCCTCCCCCTCCCTTTTTTTTTTTTTTTTTGCATTGTAGGCCAGGCTGGCCTTGAATTCACAGAGATTCACCTGTCTCTACCTCCCGAGTGCTTTGAGTAAAGGCATCCGCCACCACTGCCTGACATGAGGCCAAATTGTAAAGAAGGAAAACAAATACAAACAGAAAAACCGTGAACCAAACAAACCATCTTGAGCCCACCAGTTTGCATTCTGAATATATTACACATGTGCTCTTTAAGGAGCAGATGGAAAGACCTGGACAGAAGTCCACACTAAGCGCTGCAGGACACCACTGTCGCTCGGAGCTGTCACCACCACCTTCCCTCTCCTCTAGATATCAGGAAGGGTCAAGTGAGAACTGTATTTGACAAATGGACAGACAGACTTAGGAGAAATGCTTTAGTCTCCCAGCAGTCATCTGACTGCTGCCAATGAAGGTAGTCCCCACAGACATTAGGCCACACTTTGGGCAGAGTGGGTGGCCCTGGGGCATCCTTGCAAGCTGGGAACACAGCGGTCCCAGCAGTTTTGGACCACTAAGCCTTGCCGTTTATTTCCCCAACAGTGGCGAGAGGAGCGCTTCAGACAGACCAGCGAAAGCACCAACCAGCGAGTGCTGTGGTGGTCCATCCTGCAGACTCTCATCCTCGTGGCCATTGGCGTCTGGCAGATGCGGCACCTCAAGAGCTTTTTTGAAGCCAAGAAGTTGGTGTAGCTGTCCCAAGCCTCACAGGCGATCTTTCTTCCAGGCTGTGGGAAAAGGACCTGGAACCAGTTCCTCTCTGGGAGGAGGACTGGTTTTCAGCCGTAGATGTTCTGGAGGATAGAGGGACTGCAAGCATGTCCCCGTTCCTCAGGCTCAAGTGGAGGACAGCAACCTGGCCGGCTGATGCTGAGCCAGTAGTGGACAAGCCCTTCCCACCTCCACCTCTGGACCTTCTGCAGTAATCACCAGGGGCTGGCGATGCCCCTAGTGTCTCAGAATCTCAGTGTTACTGATCAGGGATGTGAGGCTGCTCTCTGGGGTAGGTTTCGGGAGGGAAGTGGGTGGGCCAGCAAGCTGATTTTCCTTCTGTCTTCCTTTGTTAATGTGGGATTTTGAGCAGGTCAGGGTATTATCAGTGACTCCTTGCTATTCCAGAAACCTTGCTTTTCTTGCCTTTGGCTTAGAACCAGCCTAATACTAATAATATAGAGTATGTTTGTGTGTTAGTTTAGGGGTGTGGAGGGGTTGCAATGCACAAAAGGGGCCCAGAGGTGATTTTAGTTTCTTATAGTTGTCCTCTCTGGGGCTTGAGCAACTGTTATCAAACCAAGCAGAGACTTTGGTGCTGATTGGAGACAGAGCCTACAGAATCTTAGTTACTGAGTTTATTTTCAATGAATGTGGGTTTGTTACATTGGTTTCCCAATTTAAAAAAAAAAAAAAAAGAAGAAGAAAGACTTGTCCTGTGCATGTTTACTCTTGGTGGGTGCGATGGTGCATGAACTTTAGGGAATGGAACAAGGCCAGACGTGCTGGTGCACAACTTTAATTCCAGCACTCAGGAGGCAGAGGCAGGTGGAGCTCTGAGTTTGAGGCCAGCCTGGTCTACAAAGCGAGTCCAGGACAGCCAGGGCTATTACACACAGAAACCCTGTCTGGAAAAAACAAAAAGAAAGGGAGAGAGAGAGGAACATCTTCAGTCGGCACAGGTTCTCACATTCCGAGATGAGTCTCCCCCTGTGAACAGCATGCTCTCCGTCCTTGCCGTGTTTTCTTGTAGCAGACACGTGGTGATGGGTTCGTCAGAACCATCTGATACATTGCAGGGTTGCTGGTATTTTTCTCATTGGGGATTTATGAGGCTTTGAAAGGAATACACAGGGCTGGAGAGATGGCTCAGGGGTTAAGAGCACTGGCTGCTCTCCAGAGGTCCTGAGTTCAATTCCCAGTAACCACATGGTGGCTCACAACCATCTGGGATGGGGTCATGTACTTATATAAATAAATAAATCTTAAAAAAAAGAAAAAGGAATACCCAGAAGCAAAGTGCTCTTCTTACCGTACTCATCAAGGGTACTCAGTATCAACATGACGAATAACTGAACACTGTGACTTAAAATGAGTTAATTTGGGTTTTTATGTAAAATTTAGCTTCTTGAGATTGAGGTCTAACATGAGAGGAGCAGGTCGTGTGACTGTCTCATCACCTCATGGCCCTGACTGGTCTCTGCAGGAGGTCAGTCCTGCCTTTAAGATCTGCTACATCACCGGGTGGTGGTGGCACACGCCTTTAATCCCAGCACTTGGGAGGCAGAGGCAGGTGGATTTCTGAGTTCGAGGCCAGCCTGGTCTACAGAGTGAATTCCAGGACAGCCAGGGCTACACAGAGAAACCCTGTCTCGAAAAACCAAAAAAAAAACAAGGTCTGCCACATCTATGGTTGACTTGGTAAGTTTCTGCTGTGGGATGCAGAGCCCCAGGAGAGCTACAGGATGGGAAAGGATTTTGAGTTGTAAGTGTCAGGGTTTAAGAAGGGAAAGAAACAGAGAAACCCTGTCTCAAAAAAAAAAAAAAAAAAAAGGGGGGGGGACAGAAAGAGCTAAGAGCAATTAACTGGAGCTGGAGAGATGGCTCAGTGGTTAAGAGCACTGACTGCTCTTCCAGAGGTCCTGAGTTCAATTCCCAGCAACCACATGGTGGCTCACAACCATCTGTAATGTGACCCAATGCCCTCTTCTGGTGTGTCTGTAAACATGTACAGTGTATTCATGTATATAATAAATACATATTTTTTTTTAAAAGAACAACTTCTCAACCAGTAGTGAAGCTCTCTTGAAACAAGGTACTTGAGATCATAGATTGTGGCTGGAAAAAGGATGATGTAGACAAACCAGTGACTTGCCTGTGCCTCCGTTCTTTCATCTTACAATGGAAATAATAATACCTATTCCTAAAGACTGAATTTTTATTCAGTAGTAAAGAATTTAAAATAATAATGAGTAGCACAAAGGAAGACTTAATAAATGTTAGGTACTTATTAGAATATTGAATTTTGCCTGAAAGGGGAGAAGATATCAAGTCTAGTAATTGTCTCTCTTTTCCCAGATGGGAAGTGGCAACACATGAGGGTAAGGAAGTGGATACATTCACACAGGCAAATAGGGAACTCAGTTCCCAAATTGGACAACAGCATTTCTATAGTGACTCTGCCAAGCACTGCACCAGATGGGTGGTTTCCGTTTCCTACAAATGACATACAGAATAAGAACAATTTATATACCCAAGTGATGAAACAGTCACAGAAAACTTGACTCGCCTCAGCGTTGTTGAATTATCAGAGCAGTGTTTGAAGTACCATCAGTCTTCGGAGATCAGCTCTGAATCCTGAACTGGATCTTGTGCTCCAAGTGTACATGCTTACTCTGCTGGGCTGGCCGTAGGAATGTTGTGATGCTACCAGCCTTCACTCGGGAGTCGAGGGCAGGGAGGAGGAAGATGTACCTTTTCCTAGACGTACTGTTCTGGAGTACACATCTAGCCCCAGCTAGTCTCTTGCTTGTTTGCTGGCCTTTGACCTGGGTGAAGGGGCGGAGCTCCTTTCTTGTGACATCCAGTGGGCCCTTGTAGGTAGTGAAAAGCAAGCTAGGTCCCTATCGGGTTTTTTTGTGTTTTGTTTTTGTTTTGTTTTTTTCCCAGGCAGCAGAACCTTATAGGCAGTGGCTCTGAGGTGCAGCCGGCCAGGCCGGAGGGACGGACCGGGCGGACCAGGGGGCGGGGCGGGGGTGGAGACGCCGCGTAGACTGGGCAGGCCGGGCAGCGGGGCTGGGAGCCGGAGCCCCATGTCCTGCTGTGTCCCGCCACGATGTTGCCCTCCCGGAGGAAAGCGGCGCAGCTGCCCTGGGAGGATGGCAGGTGAGCTGCGGCAGCCGGCAGGAGTCGCGTCCCCGTGGGTGCCATTCCTTTTCCCGGCCTCCTGCAGAATCTAGCAGCCCGACGCCGTCGCAGCTGGTTTCTGGGGGTCACCCTGAGTGTTTGTGGTTCTCTGAGGGGCGTCATTGGCATTGTCTGCACGGCTCTCTTCTCCCATTAGCTTCTATTCTGTGCGTCCCTGAATTTGGGTCTCTGCCTTGTTCTATTGATCTGTTTGGGTCGCGAGCTAGTCAAGTGGTTCTCAACCTGTGGGTCGCGCCCCCTTGGGCTGCGTATCAGATATTTACATTACAATTCATAACAATAACAAAATTACAGGTATGGAATAACAACGAAATTTATGGTTGAGACCACCACAACATGAGGAATTGTGTAAAAGGGCTGCAGCAGTTTGTGTTTGTGGTTCTCTGAGGGGCGTCAGTCTGAAGGCTGAGACCTACTGATCTAGCCTCTTTCTCTCATGTGCCTTATGTGTGTTTTTCCGTCTATGTTTTCATACAGCAACAGCTGGTTCTGTCCGTTTCTTACAGCGCATCTCTCTGTGTTGTGGCGCTGAAGGTCTTTTATTTTTTTTTTGTCCGCCCGCTTATATCCATGTGACTTCAGATCCTATCCCTTTCCTTCATGCTCTCTCATACTTTGTGGCTGGCCAGAAAGATCACACCAGACAGAGCTTCCTGTGTTCTCTTCCTGGTTGGTTAGCCATTGCCTGTCTTATACTAGACACACCCAGTAGTTCATTTCCTGTGCTGTTGTACTTGTGTGGGACGTGTTTTGAGTGTTAGGTGTGAGTCTGGCTCAGACCTGAGTTTTAAGACGTTTCTCGCTGAAACAGAGTCGGGGAGGTGATTTTTTCCTGCCTAAATTTATGGGAGCGTTACACTTTAGGCTTGAGATACGCTTCCCGCTCCCATTTTCTTTCCCCAAACAAGTTAGTGTATATTCATTTAATGAACAATGCATTTGTTAGATGTTGTAAGGCTCTGGAATTTAGTGGGCACAGTTTGGGGGGTGTTTTTGTTTTTCAGATTTGGTGTTAAAATGTGACAGTAATATAATAGAAGGATGGTCAGTGGTGGCCAGAAATAGACCACTTAATTTTTCTGACCTCGGTTTTCCATCTCTGAAATGAATATCATAATATCTACTTGGAAGGGCTCATTGAAGAATGATGAAGATTGTTTATAGAGGAGAATTGCCATCTTCTGATCATTTTCCTCCTTTCTTTCTTTCTTTCTTTTTTTTCTTTTTTGGTTTTTTGAGATTCTGATCATTTTCTATTATTGTGTTCTCAGAAAAATATATTGATGTCCATTTTGTGCTTTTGACACAGAGGCAAAGATCCATGCAACAAATATAAAGTAGTGTAGTAACTGGGTAGTCACTCTAGAACCAGCCTGCTTGGGTTTGAAGCACTCCTAATTAGCCTTAGGCAGTGATTGATAAAGGAGACCATCCCTTTTCTATATCTTCCCGGAGAACCTGAGTGTGGAAGCAGCCAGGAGTGCAGTTCTGGAGATCACCTCCAGGTGGCACCAGCAGTATCTGTACCCAGTGTTCAATAGCATCACTTTTACTGATAGAATTGAGACCCTTGGTGGTTTTGGCCTTTAGAGAAAAGAACGAGAGTGTCCTTGGGCACACGATCTTCATAGAAAGGGCAGGTTGAATTGAAGAAACATCAGGAGAAAGCACATGGACCGTCCAATCCATGCCTTGCTTCTGGATAATGGTCATCGTTTATTCCCCCAAAGGAGGTCTGTTCCCCGTTGTTCATCATGTAAGTCTCAATCCTGCTCCCAGAAGGAGCCCAGAGTGCCAGAAAGAATCTGTAAAGCTTCCAGGCTTGTCAGGCCATTTGCAGGTCTGGGCTCTACTGCTCCACAGTACAAACCATCACCACAGGACAATGGGGGGTAAGTTAGAAGCTCTGTGAGGGGAGTCCTATCTGGAAGCCTCTCCGCTGCATGTGGGACCTGGGCCTGGCTTCAGGGCTGCTGGCTTCCAGATTTGCAGTTGTGTCTTTAGAGAAAGGTAGGCATGGATGTGGCTCCAGTGTATGCCTTAAAGCACGCTTGGGCTGCTTGGACCCTTCCCCTAACACAGTTGACAAGCTCTTTCCTGTCTGGCTGGGCCTGAGGCTACACATAAAAATATGACATGTTCTGAAAGTAGGACCTTACAGCTCGTCTCATGGGAGCGCTGAAAAGAGGGAAGTGCCAGGTACCCTGGGAACACCAGGGAGCTTGTCGGGGCCAGTGATGGGTATGACATGGATCTTTGGCCTTGAAAGATTGGTAGAAAACTGCTAAGCAGTTAAAATAAGGGGATATCACAAAGGAGATAAAGGCAGGTGGGGATGGGCCGGAGTGGGAAGGAGCGTGGCAAGTGAGAGTGAACGGTTGTGAGAAACTGGAGAGTTGACAAAATCACAGAGTGCCTCAACAGAGGATTCTGACTGTTAGGGTTTGGGCATTAATCTTGCAAGCAGAGGCAGAACAGCCATAGGATTGAAAGTCAAGAACAGCCCAAGGACCAGTAGGCAAGATGATCACAGGCGAATCTTAGGAGGTAGCGTCTACAAGACCTGAGAGCAGATTCTTGACCCTGAGAGGTTATAAAGTAGATTCCTCTACTGGTCGCTTGGGCAGGGGCAGGGGAGCTGGAGAGGAAGCCTCCTTAGATTCTCACAACCTTTCCTCGTATCTCCAGACACTTCCAGAGTGAGGCAAAGGTGATTTCCACTGTTTCTTTTTTGCTTTTTTTTATCTGTTTTTGAGATAGTCCCACTGTGTAACCCAGTTTGGTCTTGAACTCCAAATCCAAATCCATCCAGGCCACCGTACATGGCTTTTCACCTGGGCTTTTGTTTTGTTTTGCTTTGTAATTGTTAGATTAAAGAGGAGTTTCCCAGACACCCAGTGTCTGAGCTATTGTTTGTCCAGGTTCTTCAATATTAGAATATATCCCAATATTAGAATATAGCTGCTGTCTCAAAAAACCAAAAAAAAAAAAAAATAGAATATAGCTGCTGAACCTAGTCCTGTCCTCTCCACCTTCCTTTATCTTGTCCTATAGGCTATCCTGTGATCTGCCACTATTCCTTTAGACCTTACATTGGGCAGTTTTGAGCTTCCTAGACTAACTATTGGCTGTTTTGCCTGGGGCTTATGTCAGTACACACCCATTCTTGGGGAGCTTTTTGGGCACCTTAGCAGCACAACAAAGTAACCTTTCTGCTGGGGTGGATTTTCTGGAGACTGAGTTTGGAATTTGGAAATCAGTGGTTATATCTCTCTATGCTGGAAGCCCTCCCACTGCTCAGGACCTCCAGACACGGTCCTAGGGAGGAACAGATATGAAACAATGAGCCCGCCCCTTCCTCTGAGTGTTCTGACCATCACTCCATCAGGATGTCAGATGTCACTGAATGACCGGGGCAGCCCTGACTGCTCTGAAGGGTCTGAGAGGGTCCCAGCGGGTAGCACAGGCTGGGCCTACAGAGGGGAATGGACTGATCGCATGTGGAAGTCGCATGTGCAAAACTATTAAACACCGCTTCTGCACTAATTCCCGGTGTTCAGGGGATGCCAGTCATTTGGGCCTACATGTGAGGAGGCCAGAGAAGGGTCCTGAAAGGGTCTCAGCTAGCCCATCCTCCTGACCTCCTTCCCGCTCTTACCTCAGGGCCAGGTTGCTTCCTGGAGGCCTCCGCCGGAAATGCTCCATCTTCCACCTCTTCATTGCCTTTCTCCTGTTGGTCTTCTTCTCCCTGCTCTGGCTGCAGCTCAGCTGTTCTGGAGATATGGCCCAGGTGACCAGGGGACAAGGGCAGGAGACCTCAGGTCCACCCCGGGCTTGCCCCCCAGAGCCACCCCCTGAGCACTGGGAAGAAGATGAGTCCTGGGGGCCTCACCGCTTGGCAGTGCTGGTGCCCTTTCGGGAACGCTTTGAGGAGCTGCTGGTCTTTGTGCCCCACATGCACCGCTTCCTGAGCAGGAAGAAGATCCAGCACCACATCTACGTGCTCAACCAGGTGGATCATTTCAGGTGAGGAGCAGCTCCTGAACCCACACAGCTCACCCCAGCGCCTCTCTCCCTGCCCTTGGCCCCCAGTGCCTGTTCCTCTCGCTCAGGGCTTGGGCCTGGGAGGGGTCACTTTGAGTAAGGCCCAGATGATGGGAGGAGGTAGGCCACTCTCACTGGGCGTAGTGGGAGTCTGTGGGGTGAGCCCTGGTCCAAAGTCTGCTTTAGAGAGATCACTGGATGTGGAAGGTTGGGTAAGGACACTGAGAAGCAGTGGTGCAGGGTCCCTGGAGGAGCGCCGCCTCAGTCCTGCGCCTCTGCTCACCTCCCAGCAGTCACTGTCCCAGGCTCTCTGGGACTGTCTCTCCCACTGTGGCCTTGGACTCCTCTTCCTGACAGGGACAGTGCTCCGGCCACAGGGCCCCTCTTCTGCATAGCCTGCTCTTCCTCTCGGTGATTCACGTCAGCATGCACATAGCCGCTCCAAGATAGCGGTTCTAAACAGACAGGCGTTGGGAGCGAGGAGACTCAGGAGGTAAAGGTGTCTGCCACCAACCCCGGTGCTGGAAGGAGAGAGCTGACTCTTACAACTTGTCCTTGGCTTCCCGCCACTCTGTAACTTACAGGTATTCTAAGTTAATATCTTAAGAGAGGGAGTCAGGCATGGTGGCGCACCTCTAATCCCAGCACCAGGGGAGGCAGAGGCAGGCGGATCCCAGCCTGGCATATAGAGCGAGTTCCAGGATAGCTAAGGCTATACAGAGAAACCCTGTTTTAAAAAGTAAAACAAAAACAGAGAAAAAAGAAAGGAAAGAACGAGAACAGAAAAAGAAGGGAAGATTTTTCTGTGTGATACATCCATTGCTGTTGCCCTGCTTCTTCCTTCCTTCTCTTTCCTGTTTTCAAGGCGCACCCTCTCTCTGTCTCCTCTCTCTCTCCCTGTCTCTCTCCTATCTCTCTCTGTCTCTCTGTCTGTTTCTCTCTTGTCTCTTCTATTTTTGATTTTTTTATTTTTCGAGACAGGGTTTCTCTGTGTAGCCCTGGCTGTCCTGGAACTCACTCTGTAGACCAGGCTGGCCTCACACTCACAGGCCATCAGCAGCCATCTCTTATGACTGGCAGCATCCCTCACTGAGGTCACAGGTGACTTCCATGCTCCCAGGCGCTCATCCTCTCCTGTAGGCAGCTTCTACTAAGCAGATCCTTTTCCGTCTAATGCCTCCACATACCTTCTGCTTTCCCTCACCTCAGTGGCCATCCCTGCTCACCTCATTCGCAGTGTCCTTGTCTCTCTGACCAGCTGATTGCTGTTCCCTAGAGCTCAGCACTCCCTTCCCCCAGGTCTCTCTCTGGGGAATCCCATCCCATCCTGTCTCTGGAAATGCCGTTCCTTCTTTCTGAGCTCCAGCCCTGTAACCGCCGTTTCTTTTGTAATGGCTGGTTCTGCTACTTTGTAATGGCCAGCCGGTTCTGCTGCTCTGGTCCGCAGGTCAGGGTCTAGCAAGAGAGAGAGTGGGGACGGAGGAAGGGGGAAAAAGGGGCGAGAGATGCAAAAGATAGATACAAGACAGAGTCCGGTGGAGTCTCTTCAAGTCTCTTCTTTATTCTCCTCTCTTCTTCTATATTCTCCTCACACACATATATTCTCCTATACTCTCCTCCCTCCTTCAGTCTCCTCACTCCTCCCACACATAGAAAGGAAATCCTGGGTGTTTATACCCTTTACCATGTGACTTGCCCTCGTGGACAAGCTCAACTGAAGCCACTATGTCACATGCCTTGTAGCCATGGATACCAGGTGCACCTTGCAGCTGGGGGCACTAAACAGTGTAACAAGATGTTCATCAGAGTGCAGTCAGCTATTGCAGGCTGTTGAAAACAAGTCTCTTGTCAGGGTATATGGCTCGAGATGGCTGTAAAGATGATAGCCACTTTCGGCTAAGAGTCGGCTCCCAACACAGCCCGGAATCTTGTGCCTCCTTTGTGATGTTCCGTTTAGTGGTCTCAGAGGCAGCCCGAGCCTAACAAGAGCATGGCTGAATTCCTGATTGCTGCCCCCTCACGGGGATTTCTTTCTCCTCTCTCCATTTCAGGAAGTGGGAACTACATACTTTAGTTACGCAGGCCAAAAAGGCTTGGCCTCACCTTCACCTGCTCTTTGTCTATCATGGCATCCAACCCGTCAGCAAAGCACATCTAGAATCTGCCTGCTCCTCACCATTTCCTCTGCTGACCCCTTAAGCCAGGCCGCCATCAGCTGTTACCTCTCAGTTCCTCCCAGTCCCCTGGTCTGTTCTCAGTGTGCTGACTGGAGCCACAGGGCACCTGCCCTTGCTGACCTTACTCTTGCTGTGTGGAGCCTGGTCTCCCAGCTTCCAGATGACCACTCCCTCAGGCTGACAAGTTCCACCATAGATGTTGCCTGCCACTCTGGCCCTCCTGGCAGCCCTGTCTAGGAGAATAGCTGCCCACCTGCCCTGCCAGTTTCCATCTCAGTACCCGGCTTGCCTTGCTTGAGAACAGGGATTTGTTTCTCGCTGTTTCTTCTGTGTAGTTTTGAACAGCTTTTGGTATAAACCCTTGTGTAGCAAGCAGAAGGGGCAATGTACCACAGTGAAGTCAGTGCTGGGTGGTGACAGTGAAGAAGCTCTCGGCGTAGCCGGGGCTGAGCCAGGTTGATGGACAAGCTTGCTTCCTCTAACTAGCCTCGTTTCTCTTGCGTAGGTTCAACCGGGCTGCACTCATCAACGTGGGCTTCCTGGAGAGCAGCAACAGCACAGACTACATCGCCATGCATGATGTGGACCTGCTCCCTCTCAACGAGGAGCTGGACTATGGCTTCCCGGAGGCCGGGCCCTTCCATGTGGCCTCCCCAGAGCTCCACCCGCTCTACCACTACAAGACCTATGTGGGCGGCATTCTGCTGCTGTCCAAACAGCACTACCAGCTGGTGAGGCCCAGCCCTACATGCTCTGCTTCCCAGCATGGGTCTAGACAGTTGGGAGGGTACAGCAGCCTTCCTGAGGCCCAGCACATGGAGCATTGCCAGAGCTGACGGGGACTCGGCAGCAGCTAGAGATATGTGAGGGAGCCAGGGGTGAGCACATTAGCCAGGGAGAGCTCTGCTGGGACCACAGAAGTCCCATGCCAGCTGGCCACAGGGAGCCCCAGATGGGAGGGCCTACAGAACCTCTCCCTCCCTGCAAGGTTACCGGGTCTCCCTTTCTCCTCCCAGGCCTCAGTGCTGCTACTCTTCTCGTGTGAGAAGGCTGTGTAGCTACAGCCTGTAAAACGTGGCCCAGCTGTGGGGAGATGGAGCCCTTCCCTCCCCAGAACTCCAGACAAGAGTCCCAAACTAAAGCACACCGGCTCTTGATGGGACCCAGGGGCACAGGTGGGTGGGAGGATCAGAGTGGCTTTTTTCTGTCCTCCATGGCTGAAGCCAGTTTTATAAATGAAGCCCCTGAGCAGATGCCAATCAAGAGTGTTAAAGAGCCAGTTGTCACTCAAACCCAGGAAGAGACCCAGATAGAGCCACCTCAGGAGAAATGGAATCAAGAGGAAAGCAAAAAGTAGCAGTTGCCATTTTCCTTCTGAAGAGAGAGCCGACACTTGAGACACTAATCATACACATGCTCAATGCCCTGTTAGGAGTGGGGCGGTACCAAGATGTGCTGAGACTTCCCTTTGGCCCCACATTCCCACTCAGAAGTGAAGGGACCTCGCCGCACCCTGTATTCACCCAGAACAGTCAGGGCAGGAAGAAGAGAGGGGCCTGGCTGGATGGGCTCAGACTTGGTTCTCCTGAGCAGTAGGAGACCAAAGTGCACTCCTGGGAGGAGGGGGCATGTGACAGACACTGCCTGTCTTTGTGTCAGTGCAACGGAATGTCCAACCGCTTTTGGGGCTGGGGCCGAGAGGATGATGAATTCTACCGGCGCATCAAAGGAGCTGGCCTCCAGGTAAGGCTCCTCGCATGGCTCTGCCTGGTCGTGAGGTTCCCTTTATTGCTGCATTGAAATTCTTGGGTCCCCCTGGTTGTGATCCCTGCCTTTACCCCAACTCTGGGGCCTCATCTCACCAGTCCTGTGCTCTCTGCTAGCGCCTCCTCTCCTACAGGATGGCTCCTAAGAGCCTCTGCCTGTGGCAGACAGTAGGATCCCAGAGGAGTCAGTGGTCAGGGCCAAGATTACAAGAATGGCGCCTGACGCCTGCATCCTTTGTTCTCCTCAGCTTTTCCGCCCCTCGGGGATCACAACTGGGTACCAGACATTTCGCCACTTGCATGACCCGGCCTGGCGGAAGAGGGACCAGAAACGCATTGCGGCTCAAAAACAGGTGCTGGCTAGTCTCCTCAGTGGAGTGGTGAGGGATAGGCAGGAACCAATAGGCCTGATCATTTCCCCAAGCTCCCCTTTGGCCCAAATGGTGCCGTTCCTCCATGCTGGGCCCAGTCCACAGGCATTCTCCAGAGCATCTTGTCCTGTTTGGTGGTTGCTGTGTGGATCTGGGTACCATGGATCAGCCCAGACCTCAGAGTCCATGCAGGTTCGGGTGGAAAGGCTTAGCCCGGGCACCAGAACCCCTGTCTTGTAGCTGTATTGTCCCATTATCCCACATAGAAGTCTGTGTTCTCCTAATTGAGGGGACACAGGCCTGGGCAACGTGTCAGCTTTGGCCTCTGAAGTGTGGGTTCATGTTCTCCCCTTCTCTTCTTTCCAGGAGCAGTTCAAGGTGGACCGGGAGGGAGGTCTGAACACTGTGAAGTACCGTGTGGATTCCCGCACAGCACTGTCTATAGGAGGGGCCCCCTGCACCGTTCTCAATATCATGCTGGACTGTGATAAGACAGCCACTCCATGGTGCGTATTTGGCTGAGAGCTAAACTGTAAGGAAGCTTATGCTTCCAGACCTCAATGCTGCTCAGGCTCAGGAAACCTCAGGCCTTAGGCCCAGCTCAAGAGGATGCAGAGAGGCCTGAAGAAGTAGCCAACCAGTCTGTGTCTTCAGCAACCTGGCCCCCAGAGCCAGGCCCAAGACAGGACACAGGTAGACCCTGGGATGCTGCTGGAAAAATTTTTCAGAGAAGCTGGAGGAGGTGTGGCTCTTGACTGACATTCTCCAGCCTGCCTTCCTGATCACCCTGCTCTGCCCGCCCGCCCGTGCTGAGGCCTGAGGCAATGACAAGGAGGGCCAGGACAGCCTCAGCAGACACAAGCTGCTCCTCTGGAAGCACAGACTCACAAAGATGTAGTCAGAAGCCCCACGGCCAGTGTGTATGGCAGTTGCTACTAGGAAGCTTAGCACAACAGAAGGAGGAACACAAGCCCTGTGCAAGGGAGTGGCTGAGACCTGCTGTAGCTGGTGCCACCTCAGAGGAACAGGGCACCAGATCTCACTTCTCAAAAGAAACTAGAATGCTGGATTCTTAAGCAGAATTTCCTGGTTTTTTTTGTTTTTTTGTTTTTTGTTTTTTTTTTTTTTTTTTTTAATGGTAGCAGTTAACTAAAACTTTGAAAAACTATGGCAGGCCAAACAAAATGTTTTGCAATTCACTGATTTGTCACCTTTGGTTGACCAAACGGGGATAATATAAAAGACTACGCTCTCAGTCATACACTGGCAAGGAACTGGACTGGGGTCCGGGGAAGGTGGCAGGCATGGATGGGAAGAAAAGCCCAAGGTGGGGTTCCTACACGTCCCTGACCACCAGGGCTCATGGGCAGCCCCCTGCTACCCCTGGGAAGCCCAATTCGATTCTGGCTTTGTCTGGTTGGGCTCTATTTCTGACATGGTGTTCCATTGACCTTACTAGGAAATAGGCAGAAGGAAGGAAGGTAACTGAAGAAGTCACAGGACCTGGCGGGGGTAAGGGACAGGGCAGCTCAGAAGGGAGCCATGTTCCTAAGGTGAGAGAAACTGAGGAAAAACTGCAGAATCCCTAGAGCATTCTCCCAGCTGGAAGGAAGGGTGAGTGCTGAGGCAGAGCCCTGGATGGGGAGTGTTTGTGGAAACCTAGTGTTCATCCCACAGTTCAGAAGAATAAGACTACTACCACTATGTTTGAGCCAAATTTAAAGCAAACTTTATTAAATATTGGCCAGGTATCTGTTCTGGTCAAGTGGGGCTTGCAGGCTAGAGGCACCTTGTCTTATAGCTCTCTTAAGCACAGAAGTTTAGACTGAAAACATTGGGTTAGTACCAGCAAGAGGAGGCAGACAGGTCTGTCTCACACTGGGAGCAGGAGCAAAGGGGTAGTCTGTGCAGTTAAGGTGCTTGGTTTACCACTGGGACACCCAAGGAGCCACAGAAGGAACGGGCTGCACTCCAGAGTTGAGACGTTAGGATTCACAGCTTCCTTCAGGACTCAGAGGATGCCCTCAACCCTGCTGTGTGCAGTTGGGCAGACTGTGGTCTGCACATCCTGAAGGTAAGTTCAGAGAGAGAGGCTGAGATGGGGCAGGGCTGCGGGTTCCACAGGGACAGAGCCTCAGCCGCAGCAGTGAGAGACAAGCACGCCTGGCTTACGGTCCAGCGCTGTGGAGATGGAGAGGCCATTGCCGGGGAGCTCTACTCTTCTCATCTTGGATTCTCATTTGTCTCCTCGGACAATAACTCATGCCTCTTGGGATTGGTGGACACAGATGTGACAGCAAAGCCCCCAGCTCTGCTTTGACCTGGCATGCAGAAAAACCTGAAAAGGTCAGGGTCCTGTCTACCTGTTCTGGGGCTGTGGGACCAGAGAAGGAAGGTCAGGAAGATACTCTCCAGGCCCATCTCCCCTGTGCCTCCTCCATCACACTATCATTGTGCTGGTGGGCACCCCTGGCAGGACCTGGTGGGCACCCTGGCAGGAGCTGAGGGCACCCCTGGCAGGACCTGGTGGGCATCCCTGGAAGGAGCTGGTGCAGCCCACATCTGCAGCCTCCCTTCCTTGCTCTGTATTCTCTCCTATTCCTGGAGAATGGAAGGATGATGAACCCTGGTGATCCAGGGCGAAGCAGATGACTGTCTGTGTTTTCCTTGCCCATGTTATGCACTAGTGGTCAGCAAACATCCACATGCTGGGGATGTGGATAAAATGTGCCAGGACATAAGCATACCTAGCCAGGGTGGGTGTGGGAGTAATGACCGTCATCCAGAGGGCAATCGCCACTTGTGTTACTATATTTGGGTTCTCTAGAGAGGCAGAGCTGATAGAATGAATGAACACATATGGGACTTATTAGAGTGGCTTGCAGGCTGTGGTCTGGCTAGTTCAACAATGGCTGTCTTCCAAGAATCTAATAGTTGCTCAGTACACACATGGCTGAGTGGCTCAGCTGGCCTTCAGTCTGTGTTAGAATCCCAAAGAAGTAGGTTCTAATATCAGTGAAGGGATGCCTCAGCAGCAGGATAGATTGACTTAACAGCAAGAGTGAGGGCGAACAGGCAAAAAGCAAAGATTCCTTCTTTAATGTAGGCTGCCCACCAGCAGGTGTGGCTGAAATTTGGGGGGGGGGTCTGTGGAGGGTGTTTTCCCAGCTCAAATGATCCAGTCAAGGAAAATCCTGCTGACCTGTGATGGCCCATACCTTTAATCCCAGGCAGAAAGATCTCTGAGTTTGAGGCCAGCTTGGTCTACAAAATGAGTTCCAGGACAGCCAGGGCTACACAGAGAAATCCTGTCCAAAAAATAAGTAAATAAAAGAAGAGAAAAATCCCTTACAGGTGTGCCCAGTAGCTTGGATTTTAGTTAATTCCAGATGTATGTAGTCAAGTTTGCAACCAAGAATAGCCATCATACTACCTAAGAGCTAGGTGCCGTTTTTGTATAGATGACAAAGTGAGGGTATAAAGAGGCCTGTCTGACTCAGATGACAAGCGCTGTGGCTTGGGATCAGCCTCCCTGGTACCCACCTCCGGAGCCCAAGTGACAGGTGCCCCAGCCTCCTCCCGAACACTTACCTTCTCAGTGGGAGAAGGCATGCAGGGAGGGCTGCCACTGCCCCACCTCTGGGAAGAAGGCTGGCCACAGGAGGTACAAAGTATTGGGCCCCATGGTTGTTCTGCCTCAAAGAACATGATTGCTGGAGAGGCGTCTTGAACTGAGGGACACTGAAGGGTCATCAGGGTGCCCCAGAATGTTGCACAGTAACAGGCTACAAAAATCTGGAGAAGGCTTGCTGGTGGAACAAGAGCTTGTCAGAATAGGAAAGCTTCCAGCAGAATGAATGTACACATACAAAGGGGGTGGAGAGAGCACGGCTCAGGACCTGGGAGTGCTTGTTGGCAGCCCCGGAGCCTCCAGAGTTGGGGATCTGGACAGAGGGAAGGACGGAGTGAGCTGTGATCTATGATGGCCATACTAAGCAATTTGCTTTTTCTTCTAGGGGTGTAGGATTTTCACACAGACTTTGGGCAGATTTCAATCCGTGTTCTAGACAGAACATTTGAGGTTTAATAATCCAATGTAAGGGTCGGGCGGTGGTGCACACCTTTAACCCCAGCACTTGAGAAGCAGAGGCAGGCAGATCTCTGAGTTCAAGGCCAGCCTGGTCCACAGAGTGAGTTTCAGGACAGCCAGGGCTACACAGAGAAACCCTGTCTCGTAAGACAACAAAAAGGACTTAGGCTGGACTGCAGGATGAGTTTCAGAAGCAATGAAGCCAGAGACGGCACTGAAGTGGCACGGAGAGATATGCTAGGTCCCCAGTCAGTAGCAGCTGCTGCTCCTGGCCCTCACAGGGTTAACTACAGGACAGGGCCTTCCTTGACAGTTTGCACTCCTCCCTGGACAGCACCAAGTGGATGCACACAGCCTCTGTGTCCTCCCTCCCCCTGTTGGACAATTGAAGTTGACTTTGCTCATGGTTCTGGGGGGGCTCAGAAGTTCAGGAGTGTGGTGCTTACACCTGGAGGCCTTTTTAAAACACAAACAAACAATTTTCTTCAGCCAAGTAATGGTACAAGACTTTAGTCCCAGCACTAGAGAGGCTGAGGCAAGTGGATGTCTGTGAGTTCAAGGCCAGTTTATTCTATGTAGTAAGTTTCAAGACAGCCAGAACTACATAATGAGACCCTGTCTTGAATGCCCCCCCATTTAAAACAGTTTTTTCTATAATGTGTGGGAATTTTTTATTCTTTGACAATGCCATGCATGCATACAGTGAAATATATATCCCGCTTCTAACTTCATGTCTTCTTTTTCTAACCTGATAACTCACTAAATCCAATTGGTGCTGCTCACATGTGAGAATTGGGGTTCGGAGGGCATCCACTGGAGTGTGGGGAACCTCCCATTGTCCATACTCTCAAATAATGAGTCTTCCCCAGCAGCTACCAACTGCCAAAAGCTCCTCAGCATGAGGTGAGCCTTGGAGATCACCCACCCTGTCTATGGGTGAAGTTTAGCTAGTTCAATCTTGCGTAGACCTTGTTCTATGCCACGCCCAGAAGAGAGGGTTTCACACCACTCCAGCTCTTGCAATCTTTCCTCTACCCGTTCCTCAAAGTTCCCTGATCCTTAGCAGGGGTGAGGAAGGCTAGGGGCTATAAAGATGGCTCATTTAAAACCAAGCATTCGATCTGTCCCTCCCGGGACTTTAACCAGTTAACACGTTTCTGCATTGACACTGCGTGGTTCTCTGACCCAGGTTGAGAGTCTATCCGAGTCTATCCATGTATGCATAAATATAAGGCAATTTCACAATGTAGCCGTTCTACAAAATCACAACAGCAGGTTTTATCCTGGAGCTTATGACTTCTCCAGGCGTGGGTTTTGCCTAGAATACCAGACATGAAATCCCGGCCTGTGAGTCAGGCCTCAAGTCCAGTCAGAGAGTGGTCAGTTATCCCACAACACTCATGACGGCACTGCACCTACGGATGCATCTTACCTGCGGGTCAGTATTGTGGCATGTGCTGTCCAGCACTCATGCGCTGTCCAGCACTCATGCGCTGTCCAGCACTCATGTACCAACCTGCATAGCACCTCTGACAACGTGGATGCCAGTGGGGAGGAAGTCTCCCAGTCACTTTGAGCCAAAGTGTGTGGTGCCTTCATCAATAAGGGCTTATCACGTAGCTACGGCGGGTAGCCAGGAACAGTGGCAGTAGCCATTGTTTCAGAAATCTCTGGAGCCTCCCTGACCAACAAGCAGTGAGGAGGAATCTCACGCTTTGCACTCCAATTGTTCAATAACCCATGCCTTCTGACACTGGCATTGTCCGCCTATGCAGGCTGCCTGTGTAAGCTCCTTTTATAAAATTACATTTTGAAGTTAGCTTTCCACGGAGTGGGTTTCCATGGCATCATTTCATGCGTCCTTAATTTAGGTTAGCACACCCACTCCCTCTCCTCTCCCATCCCCACTTAACCCTTTAATCTCTGCCATCTCCCAATTTCTATCATATTGCATGAATTCTACTATCCATCCAATTATATTTTATATTCAGTTGTGAGATGGTAGGCTTCCATATTGGCTTTTATTTGTTTTTGTTTCTTTTTTTTTTTAAGATAGGGTTTCTTGAGCTCACAGAAATCTGCCTGTGTCTGCCTCTCAACGGCTGGACTCCCATATGGCCTTTTATACCCCCTTCCTTTGGGTTAATCCTGCTTCTACCGGATTTTCTC